GAGGGGGGGAGGGGGTGGGGGGGCTAAGCATCCGCAGAACCCTCCTTGTTGGTGTCGCTTGAAGACGTCTTGGTCAAGCCTCTACAAATTCGAGGGCTACGAAGAGACGACAACGACAAAAGGCCAGTCTAGTCAGTGGCCAGGATGATGGTCGCCGTGTGAACATGGCGGGGCAAATGGCAGCAAGATGCAGGTCGTTCCGTTGTCACTCTCGCTCTCTCTCACTCGCACTCCCCCGCTGCCCCATCTTTTTTTCTTTTTGTCTTGTTTTGATCTATTAAAACGAATTCTCCAGCACCGCGGAAGGTCTCCCGATGGTTCTGTCGGACGCGATGAACGTGATGTTTCTCCCGCTCTGGGTACCCACGTCGCTGCTCAAGTTCGTGGGGTCGGCGCCGGCCCTCCTTGAGGCTGACATCGAGACCGTCAAGTCGGACGTGAGACGGGTTGGATAAGACAGAAGCGAGAGAAATGAGGAGTCTACTCACGCCGTACAGTAACCGTTAGGCCACTGGCGTCGCATCCCTACAATGTCTGGACGGAGCGATATGCCGAGTTTTCCCGGGCCCAGGCTGAGTTTCACGAGGATGAACCGGTCTTCGTCCTTTGCGTTTGTTGTGCCAAACCAGACGTGCCATGTTTTACATGAGGGGGGCGGGGGAGTGGTATTCACCGTATGTACAAGGCAGCGCTTCCAGGCTTCGTTCGGTATCTAGCTTGAACGTTTGTTGATGCTGTGCAAGCACGGCGAGGGTCGAGCGTGTTGTGGCTATTCCTTGACGATCTGTACCCTTGTTGGTCCACGCTTAATCCACACCCGGCGTATGTCTGAGGTGTGTTGTAGACGTCGCTCATCTCCGCCCATCTCCGGGTTTTCCATGGATTTTATTTCGCGTGTTTTTCCTTTGGGTTGTTTCATGGGTAAGAGGCACAATTAAAAGTACTCCGCGTCCGGTCAACGTGAGACTCAACCAAGCACGTGTGCTGCTGCTTGAGTGGAAACCCTTCCTGAAATCGGGGTAATTTGTCTGATGTGGAACAGAGAAGTGGGTTTGTCTTGTTTTGGAAGTAAGACAAAGAAAACAAACGTAATCATCGAGAAACATTGCGATGCGAATGAATTGAAGTAGCTCGATCGCTCATATGAATTCTACCTGAACGGCACAGGTGCTGGGGATGGAAACGTTCTACGTCACCGGGATGGAGAAGTCTCCCTTTGCGGCACTCTACAAGGGCAACATGAGGGGAAAGAGCAGCGAGGAGGTGAGCAAAGTGGCGGAAAAGCAGAAGGAAAATATGCTGTAATGGAATATCCACATCTGACAGAGTTGGTGAAGGGGCAGGACAAACACAAGGTGTTCTAGAAGAATGAAGTGAACAGAACCGCAGAGGTAGCGAAAGAGCAGAAAAACACGAGGAAATCGAGCAGAATGAAGTGAACAAGACCGCACAGAGTCAGGAGTGAAGGGGTGTGAAAACATGAAGAATTCGAGCAGAATTCAATGAAAATGCGTACAGAGCTTGTGGAGGGGCGAGAAAGCATGAGTTGGAGGAGAATGAAATGAAAATGCGTACAGGGTTGGTGACCGGGCGAAAGAACACGAGGAGTTCGAGCAGAATGAAATGAAAAGATCGCGCGGCGTTGGTGAAGGGGTGGAAACATATGAGGAATTCGAGCAGAATGAAATATAAAAAGACCGCGCAGAGTTTGTGAAGGGGCAGAAAAACACGGGGAGTTCGAGCAAAATGAAGCAATGAACAGGCAGTGCTACTTTGCTCCTGTGCAGGGCGACGCTTCGGCCCGCGCTCAACCGGGACTTCCCAATAGGCTCCGGTACTATGCATACCATCAGTACACCGGGACGGCACTGATGGAACGGGGTAATGGTCACCACCGAGCTACAACAGTGCCGTGACCCTGACTGTCATGCCGTCCTGGTTGTATCGATAGTAGTACTGGGGCCTCGGGAGCATCCAGCTTGAGTACGGGCCGAACTAAATATACTTAGCGAGCACGAAAACAAAAGGCAGCGTTCGGAAGGCGGAAAGAAGGATGGTGCCCAGAACAGACGTTGGGCATCGTTTCGCCAAGAGGCCTTGAATTGAAGCCTTTTCGGGGCAGAGATTACGACGCCGAAGCGTTCTGAAATTTTTTTGTGTTACTGCGAAAGCTGGAGCAATGGCCGCCTGTTGAACGGCACAGCACATCACGGACTCTTGTCCCTTCGCGTCATCCTCCCAACAAGTCAGTCATCCGTCTATGTAGCTATGTGGCTGTTTGATTTTTTTTTTCGATGGATAACAACAGCCGCGTTTTCTTTTTGTTTGTTCCACGGCGGTATGCGTCTTAACCGAAACAAAGCAAAAACTAGACAACAACGGCCACCTATGGAGCAAACGCGCAACTATGCCGAAGCCGAGCCGAGAAGCTACGATTCCAGATAGTTTTTCCCGCGTATATCGTTTGCTCCACGTCCCTTTCTAATGATTTTTCTTTTTTTTCGTTCGTTCGTTCGCTCATTCGTTTTTTTTTTTTTCTCTTTTGTCCTGTTTTATTGTTGTCCAGGTGTTCGAGGCGGTGACGGCGAAGCTCGAGTCCATCCCCGGGCTCTCAGACCGCGTGCAGCTCTTCCTCATGGAAGACCCCACTCCGCTCACGCCCGAACAGGTGCAGTGTGGTGCAGTGTAGTGCAGTGCACTGCTGCTGTTTCTTTTTGCGTTTTTGTCGTTTGGTCGCGGTAAGCTTTCGGTTGTTGGTATTTCATTCGCTTTTGGTGTGTTTTCAGGAGGCGTCAGCCGGGATCACAACAGGGAGGACGTCCCCCAGTTTTTTGGATTTGTTAATTTGTGCAGGCAATGAAGCCAACGGTGTTGATTTCCGACAACTCGCTCCCTTGGTTCTGACATGACATGTCTAGAGTCGGGGGTGCCGTGATCTAGACCGGGTCGTACGTAGATTATGCGCATGCGGATCTAGCCTGCAATGCTACAACCCTTCCTCCCGAAACGAAGGCTTTGTTTTCTGAGTTTTTTGTTGGTGTATTTTCAGCTTGCGTCCGATTGTTCTTACTTCTATAGGCTCTCCAGATGCGCGCAAGGTACACGTTGTGAATAGATGCTCGTGCACCATCCAACAAAGATGCCGAAGTCCGCGCGACCTAGACACGGGAAGACACCGACGATGATGATCCCCCCCCCCCCCCCCCCCCCCCCCC